CTGTAGCTAGGTGGATTTTTTATTTTCTTATTGCACGTACAGTGGGCCCAGTCTAGAGGGCTTTGAGAGTGTGCTTAGCTCTCAGCTGCTGTCAGTTAGCAGAGAGCATGCGTGTCCACTGGGCACCTGTCCCAACACATGGATGGTGACTCTGCTCATCCTTCTTCGAGCTCTCTGAGGGGGGTCCGTGATCACCCCCACTGCACAGAGGGGAACTGAGGCCCAGAGAGGTTAAGTGGCTTCCCGGGGAGGAGCCTGTGTGGAGACCCACAAGTCTGTGCCAGAATCTGCCTTTCAAGACAGGAGTGACCCCCAGCCTGCTTCCCAGAAGATGTAGCTTTCAGAGGGCAAGTTAAATGACCCTGTGCCCAGGCCTGGAGCCAGGCTTTCCTGCTTTGGAGTTCTGCTTTGAAGTCGGCGAGGGATGGACTTTCCAGAAACCCCTCTCACTGTCACACGCCTGCACTCAGTTCCATTCAGGCTAGGGCCATGTCAGAGCATCCAGAGCCAAGGAGGATGTGGTTCTTACTGCAGATAAGGTGATGGGAAGTAAGCTGGGTGCCAGAGAGAGGTGAAGGAAGGGCTGTACTGAGTCAATGAAGGGCAAATCGTACGGGTTGGAGGAAATCTGAAGAGGCTCCGTGGTGGAAGTGGTACTCGAGACGAGTTTAGAAGGGCGATCCAGGTTCACTAGAGAGGCAGGAGAGACTGGGGTCAGGCCAGGTGAGGAGCAGAAGGCTGGGAGCAGTAGTGGCTCCTGGAGCACGCGAGTGAGCAGGGCTGGGCGAGGTGGCTGAATGGGGCTTTTGGAGGAGTTTGATGGAGGCTGGGGTTCTTGGGGTGCTGAGCTAGACAAGGGAGGAAAAGAAGCAGCCTCAGAGTGAGAGGAAAGGTGGGCAGCCTCAGGGCACAGGCAGGGGGACTTCAGTACGCCTGAGGGTAGTGTGTGAAAACCCGTAGGAAGCTGGGAGCAGTGGCCTGGAAGGAAGTCTGTCCCTGCAGTGCCTGCGGGAATGTGGGGTGGATGTGGGGGATGCAGGGAGGCAGCTCACACCTGGGTGTGGAGTGTTAGAATGGAGCCAGCCAGGGGCAGAGGGAGAGAGGCAGGTGAGTGGCGGATGGGGCCGGGGAGAGGAGTCACTGTCAGTGGAGAAGTGGCTGCTCTGTCCATGATGGCTCCCAGCAGAAGCCTTTCCCAGGCTTGAGGAGGAGAGGTAGAGGGTGGGCCAAGACGACCTGTCCCCAGACTGCCATCACCCGGATGAGAATGGAAAGGGCTAGGCCCAGGTGCTTTGGTTCCGTGGAGGAGACATGATGTCATCTCCATGCTTCCTCTTCTACTACCCCCACCTCTTTGGAGCCAGGCAGTTGAGGCAAATCCTGCTTCTTCCTTTTACTAGCTGTGAGACTTTTACTAGTTGTTTATACATCTTGGAGTACCAGTTCTCACATCTTTGAAGTGGGAAGAAGCATTACATCCTCTGCCTGAGGAATCTTGAGGATTAGAATCCACAGTTAGTACAAGTCAGCTGACAGTGTAGTCCTGGGCATGTGCTAAGTATTAGTAAGTGCTAGCAGCTACCAGAATCATTCTTACTTTCCCGGATGAGCACCTTACCCATTTCTCCAGGCCCCACCCTTCCTGCCGTTGAAGGGATGACCCTACCCTTTGCCCCTCAGCTCTGAAGGGGTTCCCACCTCAGGCTCCCTCTGCCCAGCTCCCTCTGCTCCACTCAGACTGGAGAGCAGTTCCCAGCGCTGCAGCCTGGCCCTGCAGCCTCGGCCTTGCTGAGCTAGCTCCCATTGGTGGGGCCTGCCATCTGGTAGGACAGTGGGGAGCCGGGCCTGTGTGTGAGACCAGCTGGAGCATCAGACCCAAGCGCAGGTCCTTCCTGTTTGTTAGGAAAAGGTGGGGGTGTCTCTGGGAAACCAAAGATGCCTCTGAGTTCTCCATTCTGTGTTTTGAAAGCCAGAGGCTCACTTTTGCTCTGGCCCCTCCCTACACTCCCTCTCTCTCTCTCTCTCCCTCTCTCTCTCTCTCTCTCTCTCTCCCTCTCCCTCTCTCTCCCTCTCTCTCTCTGTCATGCCCACTCACTCTTGCGCCTCTTCTGCTCTTTCACAGTTCTCCTGGCAAAGCCCCTTGCAAATGCTTGCTTGGGAGGAGCTGGCAGCTTTCACCTCTGAATCAGGACCTAGAGGTGTTACTTAGAATTGTGCAGGGAGTTGAGGAGGCTTCTCCTAGGCTGAGATGATAATTGCGCTATTTAAAGTCAGCCTGGGAGCCAGAGGGAGCCAGGTGTCCCTGTGTGGCTGTCCCTGGGGTCCTGTCTGTTCGCTGGTTTGTGTAGTGGGCAGGCAGGGCAGGAGGCCCCGGGCAGTCATCTCAGGGGTATCTGTCTGGCATCCCTGTCTGGGCTTATCTTCAGCCAGCTCCCCGTGCCTCTTGGCCAGAAGTAGACTCACTGCCTGGCACCAGGTTTGGAGGCACCAGGCTGGGAAAGGCCCGGTGGCACCAAAGCCAGCTTCTCCATTGCCAAAATGACCAGGAGGATTTAGGCAGGCCAAGTAGGATCACATGGTCAGCACCTCACAGAGGGCAGCTTGTTTTCCCCTCCTGAGAACTTTCCCAGCCCCTTTACTGTTGGGAGCTTTAAAAACTGTACGCACCAAGGGCCGGGGATTTGGCTCAGTGGGTCCGCCATCAGCCTTGCAAGTGCAAGGTCCCGAGTTCAATCCCTGGTACCAAACAAAACAAAACTGTACCCACCGGCCTGGTCTCGCATGAAAGGATATCCCCCCCCCCGCCCCCGTGGGGGTGCATTCTACTTTTCTGAGCTCTGCTCATCCACAATCTCATCCCTCTAAGGCAGGCAAAGCAAAGGTTGTGGGTTCCATCTCACAGCAGAGGCTTTAGTAGTGGTGACAAGTCCAAGGTCATCTGGCTGGTCTCTGGCAGAACTGCAGCCCCATCTCCTAAGGCCCAGCTGTGGGTTTTTCCTTTGCACTGCAGCCTGCCTGGGAATCTGCTGGGCTGAGCCATTCCCAGGTTCCTGAGCTGAGCACACTGTGCAGGATCTTCTCCGGAGGGCAGCCTCGGCCACAACAGCCCTTCCTGGCCTGGTCTCCTCTTTGGTCTTTCATTTCTTTTTGATATGAGTGAGTGAGTGAGTGGAGGAATAGAGAGAATGTAGGTGCAGCTCTTGATGAGTTTGGAGCATCCAGGGTGAAAGGGCCTGGGCACCATGATGGGAGATGAGGAAGCACGCTATTAGCAGAGTGAGATGGCAGCTCCACAGGCTGCTCTGTGGGTGAGCGCTGAGTGTGGGCTGGCCCAGCAGCAGTGCTGGTGAGGAAGGTAGGATGCAGGCCAGGGTTCTGCCTTTCACCTTGGTAACTTCTTGGGGGGCCCTGCCTTCCACAGTGGGTCACCAACTAGGGTGAGGGCTCTTCCCTGGTGGAGTTTGCGCCCAGTGTCTATGTCTGGGGGCACATGTGTGGCTGTGTGTGTGTGTGCACGAGCGCATGCGTGTCCACCCTAGGTCTCTGTGTACCTGGCTCTGCATCCTTGTGTGTGTACATGTGCACACTTGCTGGCTCAGGCTAAGCCCCTCTGCAAATGGCTGTGGGTGTGAGCTCTGGAGTCTTCCAGCTGGTGCTTTAGCTTTCATCAGATCCGGCCTCACATTCCTCCCTGCCTCCCTCTGACTCCCCTTGTTCTGCCTAGACCTTCACGACCCTGAGGGAGGACCTGAGGAAAGAGACAAGGCCTCTTCTGCTTCCCCCACCAGACTCCCACCTGCCACTCTCCCGCTTCTCACCTTGCACTGGGTCCTGATGCCACCTCCACTCTAACCCTCCCAGTCAGCCCGTTCTCACTCCCGGGTGGACGGTGGCTGCTCCAGTGTGTCTTGAAAAGGGAGAGGGAGAGGAAAGAAGGAAAGCAGCATTTGTGGAGGTCTCCAGTGTACCCACCACTGTGCTGGGGGCTCTGCACCTCTTCAGAGCTCTCCAGCAACAGGGAGACCTGAAGACGCTCCCTTGGAAAACCGGTGAGGTTAGTGACCATCTAGTGGTGGCCCAGACCTTGGAGGCCGACTGTGGGCAGAGAAGTTCCCAGCTGAGTGCTGCTTTCCTCCTTTGCCTTTGCTCTCCTCTGGGCACCACTAAAGCCAGGCTGTGCACAAGCTGACCATGGTAGCAGGTGACTTCCAGCAGGGCTATGTTACTTCCAGCAATGGATAGTTACGTGGAGGGAGCACAGGTGGCCCCACCCGGAGTGCCCCTCCATCCTTCATCCCAGTTCGGCACAGAGGTGGAAGTTATGAAGCCGGAACCAAAGGCTGCTGTCCTCAGGCCTGTGTCTGGGCCCCTTGGCAGGTTTCAAAAGTGGGAAATGATTTCAGCCAGCGCCTCCTCCCTGAATTATGGGCAGTGCAGCAGGCCAGGGTTCCCTGCCTGCCCCAGTGCCCAGCCTGTGCCTCTCCAGGGCCTGTTGTGCCAGTGGTCAGGGCAGGAACTGCTCCGCCCCTCTTTCCTATGGGCCCCCAGGAGCCCCAACCACTGAGCCCTTTAACGCCCTCAGCTCTTGCCTCGGCTTGAGCGTGCAAGTGCAGGTGAGGGCTGTAGGGAGACGGCCCAGACCCTGTTTCCTCCCCCGCCACACTCGAGTCTCCACACGGCTCTGGGCAGCCAGCCGGCTGCTCCCCTACCGCTGACTGAATCATTTCTATATTTGGCCAGCGAGCCACGTGGGCGGGGGAGCCACTGCGGCTGCACTTCCGACAGCTGGGGGCGGCGGCAGAGGCTGGGCAGTGGGCCTGTGCAGATTGCTCGGGGCGCTGAGCTGAGCCGGAGCCCAGGAGCCGAGCCGAGAAGGGGCCCGCGCCCACCCCTCCCGCGCCTCCCCAGGCTCAGGGTCGCCTCCTCCGCCCCACCGCACCCTGCCCTTCTCCCTTCCCGTCTGCTCCGCGGGTCCTCAAAGGCGCTCTCTTCTTCCACAGACCACACCACCTGCCCTCCGGAAACCATGGGTGTCGCTAGGCCCAGCCCGGACTCTGCCAGGCTCCGGTGCTCAGTCTGAGATAAGCCCTGGCCCAGCCCTGCTCCCTTCGTCTGTCATGGCCGCGCTCCGATGCTGTCCGCCGGTTTGGGCACACAGGGCACCCAGCCCCAGCCCCGAGAGGTTAAGCCAGGCTTTCTGGCTCCGTTCCACCGGGGAACTGCAGGCCCCAGGCTCCTTTCAGAGCAAGAACAATTGATGGCATGGGAGAAGCCCCTGCCCACCTGCCCACTCTCCTGGCACTGCCCACTCTGAGACCCATGCACAGGGTCCTCCTGCAGCTGCCAACCCCGTGAGTCCCTCCCCGTCCCCTGACGCTGAGAAGGCCCTGCCCACCCCCACCATGTGTGAGGTGATGCCCACTATCAACGAGGGGGACCCGTTGGGCCCCCCGCATGGCGCCGATGCTGACGCCAACTTTGAGCAGCTGATGGTGAACATGCTGGATGAGCGGGAGAAGTTGCTGGAGTCCCTTCGTGAGAGTCAGGAAACCTTGGCAGTCACGCAGAGCCGGCTGCAGGACGCCCTGCACGAGCGGGACCAGCTCCAGCGCCACCTTAACTCCGCCCTCCCCCAGGTAAGGCACCGCCCTCGGCCCCCTCCCCTCAGCCACTTGGGCGCACAGCTCATCTGCGTCTATCTGCATATAAATACTGGGATTCAAGGAGCAGGTGTGCTCCATCTTCCTACATAAATCATTCCCTGTCACCCTCAGGCTCCTCCGCCAGGAATTGGCTTCACTTGGCAAAAAACGATGGGCTTGCGCTTTGATGCGGGGAGAAACCCAGCTGTAGTTTCCAATTGCAGTGAGGCCAGACTGCCAGTAGGTGGCACCCTAGACTGCAAAGAAATCTCAGTTCTGCCTTCTCGCCAAAGCCCCTAGTCTTAGAGGTGGTGGTGGATGAGGTAGCGGGGAATCTCAGAAAGTGGAGGTGAGAGAAGAGATCTCCTAGTCCAGCTTCCCTGTTCCACATTTGAAAAGCAAGAGCTGTCACATTACAGGCAGAAGCACGGTATCTTACCCCATTTCTTGATCCTTAACAGCACTGACACTCACTATAATGTGGTCACCATTTATTGCATATTTTCTATGGATTGAGCACTCTATGGATTCCCAAATCTCACAACGATGAAGTTGGTAGTATTCTCACAATGATCTTGTTTTACAAATGAAGAAACTAGAGTTTGGGGAGAGTGCTCAGTTGCTCATGACTGTGCAGTTGGTAGGTGGTCAAAGCAGGAGTGGAACTCCAAAGAGTTGCGTTTTGCGACCCTAGCATATTTCTACTTTACCATATTGGCCCTGGGGCTCTGGGTTGCCTCCTACGTAGCCCTTTGGTAGATATTCCAGGTGAAATGCGTGGACCTAGGGTGGAGAGCGAACAGGATCTTCCCGGGTTAGTCAGGCCTAGGGAGGGGTGGGGTTCGTCAGTCTTTGAGCACAGGGCTCATAGTGACTGCGTGGACCTAGGAGGAAGGTGAGCATCAAAACCAGGAGGGGCACCTGCATAGCACACCCGAGCTGCTGGGCTTGGGGAGGCAGCCGCAGGAGCTGAGCAGCCCAAGCTTCAGTCCAGACCTCTGCCTGGGTATGAGGAGAAGAACCAGGCGTGGGCCTGGTGGGTGAGGAAGACAGAGTCCTGTGAGGCTTTCTCATGAGAATATGGAGCCCTGGTGACAAGGTGGGTTGGGCGGGGGTGGGTGGGGGTGGGCGGGCCCCTCCTACCCTCCTACCTCTCTGGGAAGGAGGCCCTGAACTTGCCCTGGATGAATGAGCCAGTTCCTGCCCCAAGGAGCTCAGACACTGGAAAGGAGACACAGGACCTAGAGGACTAGAGGAGAATGTAGACAGTAAGAGAGGCCCAAAGGGTGGTTAACACATCGCTGATACAAATAGCTGTTTTTGATTGGCTCCTGCTAAGTGATTTCTGTACTTTGGATCATTTAACCCTCACAGCAACTCCTGGAGAAAGGTCTGTCTCACAGATCAGAGAACCAGTTCAGAGAGGTCAGATAAGTTGTCCAAAGTCACACAGCTAAGAAGGGCAGAGGCTGAGCTGAAATGTGATCCCAGGCCTTCCTGATTTCTGACTGGAAGCTTCACAAAGGCAGGGTTTGTATCTTGTCATTGTATCCTTGGTGACCCGGTGAGGACCTGGAACTCATACATATTTGGGGTTGAGTGGTGGACTCCCAAGCTGGTGCTGAATGAGGTTTTTTTTGAGACACGGTCTTGCTATGTAGTGCAGGCTGGCCTTGAACTCACTGTGTAGCCCAGGCTGGCCTCAGACTTGCCCCCAAATCCTCCTGCCTCAGCCTCCCAAGTTCTGGGATTACAGGCATACACTACCATGCCTGGCCTGAATGGTTTTCAAGGGAGGGAGGGAGGCTTCCACTGGGGAGTCCAGGAAGGTCCCCAGGAGGCTGGGCTCTTGGTGATGGGCTTTGGAAGGAATCTGCTTCATTCAGGTGGCAGAGAGGGTTGGACTCTGCAGGGAGAGGGAGGCCACCTGGCAAAGCTATGGCGTGCAAAGGCTTGTTGGTGCTTGGAGACAGACAAGTGACCCAGGTGGGCAGAGACTTAGGGTAGAAAGGAGCTATGAGACAGAACTTTGAAAACCAGGGTAGGAAATGCAAGGTATGACTGAAAAATACAGTAAATGTTTAATTATTTAAAAAAATTATTACAGAAAAAGACACATTAATTCCCCTCATTTTTTTTTTTTTTTTGGTACTGGGGATCGAACTCAGGACCTTGTGCTTGTGAGGCAGG